TCCCGGAGCGCCCGGCGGGACGAAGGCCGCGTCGGCGCCGCCGCCGTCGGCGCCCATGTCCCGCATGTCCTCCAGGGCGATGGTGAACTGCGCCAGCGTCCTCACCATCTGCAGCATGCGGCTCCGGGGGCCGGGTCCAGGCCGGGAATTTGGGGGGGGGGATTGGAAAAAAAAAAAAATCCTGGAAAAAAACCCACCCAAACGGGCTCCCCCCGCCCTGGAGAAGCCGCAAAATTGAAAATAGGGATATATGGATAGAGGGAGAAAAATTCCCGGCGAAGCTGCCGCAGGAGGGGGATGGATGGAGGCGACGCTCTTCCCGCGGGGGCTCCTGGGGGBGGCGGGAGGGCAGATGCCGGCGGAGCGGGAGCGGGAGCGGGAGCGCAGGGGACGCGGGCGGCGGGCGCTGCTGCGCGTGGCGCCTGCGTGCGGGGGGCCGGGCGTCCCCGCCGCGCGTCCCCCTGCGCGCCCGGCCCTCCGGCTTCCCGGCACCTTCCCGGCGGGAGCCCTGCGGCCTTCCCGCTCGCCCCGGGGGGTTCACGCCGCTCCTGGGAATTCGGGGCTCCTTAGCAGCCCCCCCATCTCACCCCCATCTCCGTTTGCTACATCCCCAGCGCCGGTTTCCATAGCAACGGCGGGAAGCAGCACCCGCGCATCCCGGCGCTCCGGAAATTTTCCGCCGGGAAGCGAACGCGGCCCTGGGAGGCTGAAACATCCCCCTCATCTCCCCATCGCGGAGAGCAGAGAACGGCCAGCTCGGTGCACGTAACAAAGCCCAGGCAGCGCCSCCTCCCCTCCCTTGGAAGCTCCACTGCAACATTAGGATTAAACCCACTCCTGCACTGAGCGCATCCGTGCTCAGCAACTGGCCAATGGGTGATGATCTCCCCCCTTTCCAGCTGCTTTTCCCATCGGATTCGCCCCCCACCAGCTGCTGCAATTTGGCCCGGAGCAGGGGACAAAAAGCCTTCTTGGAGAGCAGCAGTGGATTCTCTGGTGTCTAGTAGCAGGGTTGAGCCAGCGCWAGGCGCTCGCTGCATTAACCCTGTCCGCACCGGGAAGGGACGGGATGGAGCAGGATCCCCCTTGGGAAATGCAGCCYGCGGGAAATTCCTGGCAGCGCCGGGGCCACCCGCCCGGCCTGGCCTATTTTTAGGGCCGGGCTCCCATCCGAAGGGGCTATTTTTAGYCCGACGCTTTGTAAACACCTTGCGACTTCCTTTCGGATGGTCTTTTCCCGGCGGAACGGATCTTTGCCGAGAGCTGCAATCCCAAATTAATTCACCTTTTTTTGCAACGTTCTCCCCTCGGTTTTCCCGGTCTTCCCGGGAATAAACCGAGTGCGGAACAGGCAGATCGGAGGCACGATGGCTCCGTATGGATCTCTCGGAGCCTTTCCTGGCTTTTCCCATGGGCTTTCTCCCATGGCGTGGGAAAACTCTTGGCCTAAGCACAAGGCACGCGGGAAAAATCCCTTTCCCGGGCTGGGAAAAGCTGCCACCCACTCAACTGTGGGTGATTTGGCAGCACCCCTAGTCCGAGAGCCTGGAAATGGGTCTTTTTCCCTGGTTTTCTGGCCTCTGTAGCCTGTGTTCATCTTAAATCCCTCCTCCCAGAGGTTCCCAGTTTGGGAGGAACTGGGATTTCTGCACTGTTACTGGCTTCAGTGGAATGCATCCCACTGCGGATGCATCCCTGTCCACCCCAGCTCCAGCCCCTCTTCCCAGCTCCGACCCCTCTTCCCGGCGCAGATCCCGCTAGAGGGAGCTGGGATACAACGAGAGCCACCAGCTCCAGGGATGGGACATCCCTGCAGCTCCCATGGGAGCATCCAACTCCCATGGCCTCCGTAAAAACGGACCCTCCAGTGGGATAAACCTCATCCTGCCGCAGTGCAGCGAGTGGCCACGATTTCCCTGGGATTTGCCCAGATGCCCCTTTGGGATACCCCATTCCAGCAGCTCCYGTCTTGGGAAAATTCCCCAGATCCCAGCTGGCACAGGGAGCTCTGTACACAGCAAATATCACYGCCGGATTTTGACCTCGGCCTTTTTCTCAAGGAAAAACGCCCTGTTTCAAGGAAAAAACAGAGTTTCTCAAGCTAATTCCAAAGCCAGAGGAGGAAATGTCTTTTTTTCCCCCTTATTCCGGAGCAAAATTTGAGGTTAATTAAACGAGCCGTTTACGGGGCCAGCGGTTAGTACGATGCAGCCGACGTTAAACCTAAAGAGCTTGGACAATTCCCATTCCCTGATTCCTGGCAAGGAAATTGCTTGGGAAAAAAAAATCACATTCCCCTGGGATGCTTCTGGAGGCTGGATTTGGGCTGGTCTCGCTTTCGAGGCAAAGCCACCCAGCCCGCCTGCGGAGAGAATTCCCACCATAGGGAAAAGCAGGAGCGGGATGGCTTTGCAAAGTCTGGTTGGGAAAGTGGCTACGGAGCTGCTATTCCCAAGTGGGAAGAGCCACTATTCCCGGAGCTGCTATTCCCAGTGGGAAGAGCCACCATTCCCAGAAACCATAGAGTTCTGTGGCCGTGACAGGCGCCAACCTGAAACATCAGTCACGGAGGAAAGGGAAGAGCGGGATTCCCGATGGGATGGGACCATGGCAGATGCCACCAGGATGATGCTGGACCCTGCAGACAGTGACACCAGGTGACAAAGAAGAAGATCCTGTGGGATATGGTTTGAGGGGAGGCAAAGTAT